AGTTGGCAGAGCCAGGTCTTGACTGCTTTCCGGAAGGACAAGAGGGTTGGGGCCTGCCTCACCTCTGGGGGGAGAGTATTCCATAGGGTGGGGGCGACAGCAGAGAAGGCTCTCTTTCTGGACCCCGCCAGTTGACATTCTTTCATCAACGGGGTCTGCAGCATACTCTCTCTGCCTGAACGGGTGGGACGAGTGGATATAATGGGGGTGAGACGTCCCTCAGGTAACCCAGTCCCATGCCATGTAGGGCTTTAAAGGCGATGACCAACACCTTGAATTGGGACCCAATGCAGAAAACTGGACCCAATGCAGCCCACACAGCAAAGGTGTAATGTGCCATCCTTGGGGCCCCTAAAATTGCCCATGCGGCTGCATTTTGAACCAGCTGAAGCTTCCGGATACTTTTCAGGGGTAGCCCCATGTAGAGCACATTGCAGTAGTCTATGCAATATGATAGTTCTATGATATTTCTAATTCTGGAAAATGTGGGAAGGAAGGAGGAACACTTGCTCAGGGAAGAACTGTAGGAGACAGCACATAATATCACAATCCACTCCTAATTGTTTAAACCAAGTGAAACAATCATGGAAATTGTATTTATAACAGTTCAATGTCTTGGTAAGATTGGTACATAGAAGTAGAATTACACTGAAATACGCTGATTTAAATGGATTGATAAATAATGGTATCAAGTATCCATCCTGTATTGTGAGTTTTACTGTTTCATTTGTAACAAAGCTGTACTAAGATGTATATTTTAAATTTTAATTAACCAAATCCTTATACATGGTTTATACAATCTAACTTAAACAAAACTTTTTGCAAACTGAAGAAAATGATTGAACTTTACTTGTCCAGATATCAAATACTGTGATTAAAATGTTGTTTATTTAAAAATGGTGAAACTAACTCATTTAGTTAATATTATGCCCTCTTAATATTTACAGCTCTTGGGCTCGTGAGATGCACTATTATAAGCTTTATTTTAAATATACTTTGTTCTTTATTCCCAGTGGAAAGCTCATGATGGAATTATTCTAAAAGTTGATTGGAATTCTGTCAATGATCTTATTCTGTCAGCTGGGGAAGACTGTAAATATAAGGTATGCATTCTTTCCAAAAAGTTTTATAATATGCTATCAGCCATTATAAAAAGTGCAGTTAAATAAAAAAAGCTAATATTTCAATACACATTCCTTGAAACAGACATATATATTTATGTTTGTATGAGGTAGTCTTCGTTTAGTGACTGCCTCGTTTAGCGACCATTTGCAGTTATGATGGTGATGAAAAAGTAACTTTACAACCAATCCTTGCATTTACAATCTTCGCAGGTTTGTAAAGTAAAGGAAAGCTAAAGTAAGTTCATAAGCATAGTTGTGGGTCCATTTAGTGACCACTTTGCTTAACAACCAAGTTACTGGTCCCAATTGTGATTGCTAAATGACTTTCTGTACTAAGAATGTTTTAAACTTACTGCATACTTATAATTACTTATAGTTTCAATTACAATTACAATTAGTGAAGGCCAGTTTGATGTAGTGGTTAAGGGTGCTAGCCTAGAAGCCAGGAGACTGTGAGGCCTCTCTTAGGCATGAAAGCCAGCTGGGCGACTGCGCCAGTCACTCTTTCTCTGCCCAAACCACCTCCCGGGGTTGTTGTTGTGGGGAAAATAGGAGGAGGAAGGAGTATTAAGTATGTTTGCTGCCTTGAGTTAAGCAAATATTTAAAAAGTGTGATAAAAATCTAATAATACTAATAACAATAATGAATCTTCTGCCCAATATTTAAAACATAATGTTTTTATTTGAAAAATATTCAGGGTAAATGTACTAACATAATCAAGAATAGTTAAATCCTTAGATTGGGAATTTTAAATGCCATTAAGTTTTGAATAAAGATTACATTAATATTACTTTACATGGATATGAAAAACAAAGCCACACAATCTCACTGAAATGAAATCACATCATCATACAAAGTCTTGACTTTATTTTTGTTCTTTAATAAAATAGGTGTGGGATAGTTATGGTCGTTTGCTATATAGCTCACAGTCACATGAATATCCTATCACTTCTGTTGCTTGGGCTTTGGATGGGGAATTATTTGCTGTTGGATCCTTTCACACTTTACGGCTTTGTGATAAAACAGGGGTAAGTAACAGTTCTGGCAATATATATTAATTGAAAAAAATATCAAGTAGTTGTCGATTTGGTATCTGTATGAATGATGTCTTATCTCTGTGTTTTCTGGGTTTGCTTTTAGAAAAAAATAGTATGTACTATATAACTCAAGAAAGTGGGACCAAAGATTAAGATTTTAATCTATACATTTTTTCTTGAATGATAAAGAAGAGTAAAATTATTAAATTTCCAAAGGAAAATAAGACATAATGTCTTAAATTCAAAGCTGTTTTGCTTCTCATTCTACTACATTCCATTAGCAAGTTTTCTTCTACCTTTGGATATCCAGTATTTAGCAACTATTACTTGTTAAATTTGTAACAGCATATCTTTCAGTTAATTTGATTTCAATTGATATCAGTTTCTATATATTTTATTATTTTTCATTTCCAAAATTCTCTTGGTCAGCTTAAGGAAATTTTGTTGATTATGTAAATTATGGTTGTTAGTTTCTCAATTACATCTTGTTTCTTATACAAGAATCTGTTGTATTGGAGTGTGTCATTTCATAATTATTTTGGTTGCTCATTCTAGTGACCCTTTTGAACGTGCTTTGTGATAGAGGAGGATCTCTTTCAAGCAGCTGTAAGATAAATTATCAAAAGATTTTGTAGACTGAGTTTGAGGAAGAAATATATCCAAGAACTATTCTGAGATGTGTTGATTGGGCATGATGCAGTCATATAAGACTGATGTAAAGTTAAGAATGTTTGGGTTGCTCAGATTATTTCAGTAACATTGTTTGAACTGGGCAGCATTGAAAATACTTGTAATAAAATGAAGTAAAAATAAAAATTACTGCTCAGTTCTCTATCTTCTACACTGAACTGCTGCCATCTTTTCATTGGCCCCTGCAGCATGGCCTGGTAATATGATCACTGTGGATTACAACTTCCTGGCCTGGGATGCTCCTGTTTATGAGCTGCAAATGGCATAGGCATGAGGCATAACTCTGCAAATGTACTGCTTGCTTCTATACAATAGTATTGAATCAGGCTTTGGGATTGTTAAGAGGGTGTGTGTAATTTCCTCTTGTGTGATTTTGTTTGTATTTTTGTATTGCTTCTTTTTCTCTTGCTACTTGTACCCTAACATCCCAAGATGTGTCAAAGATGAAATTCAAATTACAGGTAATCCTCACTTAATGACAGTAACTGGGACCAGAATTCCCATCATTAAGCAACATGGTTGTAAAGCGTGATGTCAGATGACCGCGCCACTTAGCCACAGCAATTCTGGCACTTCTGGTTGCTGTCGTTAAGTGCATCCTGTGCTGTCATTAAGTGAGGTCATGTGATCGCCATTTGCAATCTCCTACCAGCTTCCCCATTGTCTTTGCTTGTAGGAAGCTGGCAAAGAAGGTTGCAAATGGCAATCCCATGACTTTGCGACTGTTGTAAGTGCCACTTATTCGGTGCCATCATACGTTCAAACAGTCACTGAATAAATGGTTATTAAATGAGGACCACCTGTATTTGAGAAAACAGTAAATGGTAACAGTTGCTGACATTTACCTGCACTTAGAAAGTTGAAAGTGACTTCTTGACTTGTAATCTATTGTAGTGTATCATAACATCTCTTCTTTACCCACATCTTTTGCATCCTGCTCTTTTTAAGCATCTGTCTATATTTAATGTCTCTCATGGGTGCTCTGCCTTTTTGCACTGCTTGTGTGTTCACCTGTCTGTCACACATCATTTTGTCATCCTCAGCTTATTCCTTCACTCTTCTGCCCTATGCATACTTTCTTCCATGGAGAAGCTTTATAGAAAAACAATAGCCAGTCTTTAAATTATGCAAGTTATTACCAAACTCCAAAACAATATGGAATAGTTAAAAATAAATCATGAGTAATTTGTATCTCCACAAAATATGCATTTAAGAATATGGACATTCATTTTTATGTCAGAATAATCCATAACTTTAATCCTTTCTCCAGCAAATTTGTATTGGCAGTTGCAACCATTATAAAGAGTATCTTAACAGAGGATTATTTAATTTAATCCTTCAAAGTTTTTCTTTTAAAAATTGAAAGTCAAATGAGTAATCCCTTTTACCTCAGATGCATGTTTGATATTTTGAGATGCAAAATATCAAACAAAGTACATTCACAGAACTCTTCCTTCAATTTGATAAGAAGCAGAATGGGGCGGTATAGAAAGAGAAAGTTTTTTTTTTTTTGCTTGGGGAGAGTAGTGGATTCTAACAGTAGCTAAAGCCAGATGCTATCTATTCCTTTACAGCTGGCTGGAATAATTTATTAGGCTTGCCTCTATACATTTCTGCTACTTCATGCAAGTTTTTTCTTTGACTTAAATATAAATAGCTGCTAAAGAATTAGCTGTGCTAGTGCTGAGAGAGAAGAGAGAATGACTCACTGGTTATATGTGTGATAGTGTTTGAAGAGAACCAGACCTGGCTTTTTGGTCAACACAGACATTTTTATTGTGTCTGATGTAATGGAGCTGAATCAGCGAATTGCTCCCTAGAGAACCATCAGGAGATATACATATCATTAACCCTTCTGCAGCATATGTGACTAGTTATAAAGCATAATTTAATTAAATACGCTAACATACACTTTTTTGCTTCAGTCTTTTTTCCTGCTTCTTGTAGCACTCTTTAGTATAATTTGCCACTTCTACAGGTATACTGTTTGGAAGCAGATTTTATTTAATGTGTTATTCACAAATGAAAAACAACAATGCAGTTCTGAAACTCAGGCTAATGGTATATGTAATGACCATACCAGGTATAAATTTGGTATCAAACACACTTTTTAAAGTATTTTTAAAGTTTGATACAAGAAAACATGTCCCTGCTTTTCAACATTTTAAATCTTACAGTGCTTGAAGCCTGTGACTATTCATACATACCTTGTGGGTGACTTCCTATAGATGTATACATGCTTTGACAATGTTGGTTATGTTGCAAATGCAGTACTCTTACACAGAAATAGAAATGAGGAAGGACAGAGAGGCCTTCTAATATTCCCCCTTCCCTGCAGTTATAGAAAATGAATCATAAGAGAGGACTTTTTCAGTGCCCCAGAGAATGAAATATTGATACATGTTCTGTGTATCTTGATTTGATCATGTGTGGTTATCACATATTTCATATTGGATGGGGTTTTTTTGCTGAAATCTTCATTTTTAATCATGTTTTTGATTTTCCCACTGGGTGTAGCATCACAGTTTCTGCATGTTCCATTATAGTAGTACACAGACACATCTTTCTAATGCAGTGTAACAGCATTACTGTTTATTTTTCTCTGCTATTGTTTTGCATCTTCATTACTTCCTTTCTAATTTAAATTTTAAAATGCTAATATTTAAGGTAAGAAAGATGTATTTGAAAGGAAACTTGTATATTACAAGCATTCATGGGGAGATTGTTAGAATGCTTCTGTACTCTCAGAGAGATTTCTGGTAGTGGAACCTGGGCCAACATTGATTTTGATAAATAGAAGAAAGTAATGAAGTAAACCTGGGGTGAAATTTAAGCCTGCTTTTAGTATTCTGTAGGTCTATATTGGTGTTTTTCAAACTTGGCAACTTTAAGATGTGTGGCATGCTGGCTGGGGAATTCTGGGAGATAAAGTCCACACATCTTTAAATTGTCAAGTTTGAAAAACATTGGTCTGGATGAGAAACAGGTAGAATTAGCAGTCTCTTAATGTGTTCTTGGTTCCCTGTAATAATGGGAGTTGGGTTTTTAATAGATAATCATGTTTATTGGAAGCAATTCAGTGTGTCTTTAGGAAAGCATTAGAGCCCATTTTGCATGACTGTTTCTCAGTTTCTTTCTTTGACCCTTTAATAAGACTTAGGTAGGTAGAAATGTTGTTATGACACACTGAAAACAATACATGATATTTGGTTTTACCATTTTTAGAATTGTTGAGAGGTTTTATAAAACATTCTATTTTATGTGATCTGTTTGGTGTGGTATTACATAATTCCTCTTAGAGAAATTGTTTTTCTAGATCCAGGCTAGACTTAGAACTGGATTTGGTAACAAGACTATATGTTTGATTATAGTTACTGCCCTGTTGATTGATCCACTTGAGGAGAGAAACAGAAGAAGTGCAATCCTGTTAATCACTTAGCAGCTTGTGATACCTCATAATTAAAACTGATCCCTTCTAGCCTCCTTTTAAAAAGTTATTACCGAAATAGCTACTATGTTACACGGAAGATTAAATTTCCATTCAGAAACGCTAGAAAAGCCAGGATATTTGTATTCTTTAATGCTGTTCTGGGTTTTTATCCAAAATATCAAGATTTTCCAGTTGGTCTACACTGTTGTATAGGATTCCACTGTAAATTTGAGAAGACAGTACAACCATAATTCTAAAGTACTCTTTCTAATAACATTTTTCTCAAGGGCAAATGAATTTGATATGAACTGGGGTTCTGAAATTCATTTGGAATGGCATTCCTTCAAGGAGCCAAATTACTGATTCATGTTCTAAGATAAACAATGAATAAGAGGAAATTGTTTAGGGAAAATATATTCATTCTTAGATAAAAGATTATAAAAAAAATAGCCAGGATTTCAGTATGTATCTTTAGTCCATTACTTACTTTTAGTCACTTAGTTTTCATTAATAACTATAAACCTTTTATCCATGGGCAAGAAAACCTTGTAATGTAAAGAGGATTTGTTTCTTTGCAAATAGGTTAGAATATTAATTGGGTTGGTTTGGGGCTGATGTTTTTGCAACTTATCTATGCATTATGCAGTATGCAACCAGCATTATACAAATTGAATAAGCATGCCATGCAAGTTGGTACATCAAACAGGTAGATCTGACCCTAGTTCTAAACAATCACTTGTAGCGCCAACATCCCTATTTGCTAGCCTTAGATATTTAGATCACTTGGAAAAAAAGCTGCTGACTGTAAGTTAAGATCCAGAAGAAGACTACCGTATTCAGATAAAATATCCATTGATTCTGGTCAGAACCA